TTTTGTCCAAGGTCACTTGACGTTGCTGTGATAATTCAGAGGAAGGTCTGGGACTGTCAGAGACAGGTAATGCTCATCTGGAATGAGTAATTACTGGACGTATCTCTTGGAGTTGCAAACACTTCTTAACTCCATTTTGATTCATTTTCTTTACTCTACTGTTGAAATTTATGAAAAACTAAACTAAACAAAACATATGTTTTAAACTTGGGTTAACAAAAATTAACAAGACAAGACAACAATAGGGGACCATCACAAGAGAAAAACACAACAAACTTGATGAAAAACAAAGAGCAGTTTGTTAAACCATTGGACTAATTTCTTATAGGTAAATGTACACATGAAAATAATTAACATTTACTTGTCACATTTCAAAATATTTCACCAGAAAATTAGCAGAGTTAATTTCTGCATAAATTATTTTTTTCATGAGTCTTCGAAAAAATTAAAAGCAATTTATTTATACTAATTAGAAATAAGCATGTGAAAGCTATGCTGTAAAAACACATTTAAAACAATGCCAAGGACTCTGTCATGACAGCATAAACTAGAAAAATGCACTACAATAAATAAGACTGTTTATCAACTTGTATATCAAGCTACTATTTTATTAGCTAGTTTATGGCAGCCTGATGGCTCAGTTGTTAGCACAGCAACAAGGTCTTGTGTTGAATCCTTGGTTCAATGTGTGGACTTTCTGTGTAGAGTTTGTATGTATGCTTTTTCTGGGTACTGCAGGCTCAACCGTAGCACAAAAACGGCTGCACCGGTCAATAAGAAATTTGGCAGGACTGTAGATGAGTCCGACCTACACTGCACCAGCCAACAGTTTTATGATAAACCCCTTATTTGAGGAGGGGGCTCCTTTCAAAAATGGGTGTATGGACATGCAAAAATGCTTATAACTCAGAAACTGTTCAACATAGAAGCTCCAGATTTCTTTTGTTGTTTAGTTCTGATGAAGCTCTATCCATCAGACCCACCAATCAGTGCCCCCCACCCCACTGGACCCCCACTTTATCTAAAAAAGGGGTGTATGTACATGTAAAACTGCTTAAAACATGCATCTTCACCCACCAAATTCCATGATGCATTGTGGGTGAAAGCTGGCTGTAATGTAAACCAGGAAATAAAGCTGTAAGACCATTTTTATATTTCTCTTTTTCTTTGATACAAAATAAACTTTTAGAAAATTTTTAGGTGGGAATGTAGCACTGGGGAACTCAACTATATACTTGCTTTGTCAATATTTTGCTTAAATACAATCTTAATCCAACGTTTTTAGACATGTTCATAGTCACTATGCTCTGCTCTGCAGTTCAATAGGTACTTCCTGCTAGAGACAAAGCACACGCTCTCTCTCTCTCTCTCTCTCTCTCTCTCTCTCTCTCTCTCTCTCTCTCTCTCTCTCTCTCTCTCTCTCTCTCTCTCTCTCTC